TGTCCCATAATTGGTGTCAGTGGGTGGACTAGTGCCCCATCATTGGTATCAGTGGAGGAATAGTGCCCCATCATTGGTATCAGTGGGAGGGATAGTGCCTCATCATTGGTATCAGTGGAAGGAATAGTGCCCCATCATTGGTATCAGTGGGAGGAATAGTGCCCCATCATTGGTGTCAGTGGGAGGAATAGTGTCCCATCATTGGTGTCAGTGGGTGGAATAGTGCCCCATCATTGGTGTCAGTGGGAGGAACAGTGCCTCATCATTGGTGTCAGTGGGAGGAATAGTGCCCCATCATTGGTGTCAGTGGGAGGAATAGTGTCCCATCATTGGTGTCAGTGGGTGGAATAGTGCCCCATCATTGGTGTCAGTGGGAGGAACAGTGCCTCAATGGTGTCAGTGGGAGGAACAGTGCCTCATCATTGGTGTCAGTGGGAGGAACAGTGCCTCATCATTGGTGTCAGTGGGAGGAAAGTGTCCCATCATTGGTATCAGTGGGTGGAATAGTGCCCCATAATTGGTGTCAGTGGGAGGAATAGTGCCTCATCATTGGTGTCAGTGGGAGGAATAGTGCCCCATCGTTGGTCAGTGAGTGAAGTAGTGCCTTGTATAAGTTGAAGTTATAGTGCAGGGCAAGTAAGCAAAGAGCCAAATCCTGCCCACAGTTTAGAGACCACTGACCTAGACGATCAAAGCAAAAGTAGGAGTAAATACCTATCAAACCTAGGTACTGGCTCCTCGAACAAAAAGTGTTCAACAACAGGAGGGGAATGGGAAGAGGCGGAAAAGTGAAACTTCAATGCAGTTATGTGCAGTGCCGGGACAGGTTCATTCTTTCCCAGGGCAAGGATTCAGAACTGAGCCCCTCACCTGCTCCTAATATATACCAAAGAATGGGTAAACAGTGCTGTGCCCATTCTCTGCCCCCTGTTACCAGGTTTGCATGGAGTGTTCACTACACCAGGGGGCCCTTCAGCTGTTGCGAAACTACAAGTCCCATCATGCCTCTGCCTTTGGGAGTTATGCTTGTAACTGTCAATCTTGCAATGCCTCATGGGACTTGTAGTTTGGCAACAGCTGGAAGGCCGCACTACACATTTTGGCCAATCGATTGCTTTCTAGCAGCTGGAAGGTAGTCGCACATGTGCAGTGTGATTTCTCTGGCAGCTGTGGCTGAGAGTGAGCATTGTTGAAGACATCAGTAGCTGTCAGATCAGACATGAATCTGTGGCCTGCTGGTTGCCTGCCACTGTTCGTCCGCTGTGCTCTGGGTGGCTGCCCCTTCTGCCCAGCCCTTGTCCCAGGCCTCGGTTATATCTTCATTAAAAATAATCACTTTTTTCTTATAGCACTGTGTAAGTGCCAGGATTTGTTTTGATATTAACATATACAGGGCAGGAGAGGTAGCACCAGCACCTAATCAAGCATACGTGCAGACAAGGAACATGCTGACTGGAGGAGAGAGCAGAACAAGAAGAGGCTGGGGAGGGGGCTGGGAGGTGACCCAATTTTATCACCTAACTGCCAGGGCAAAAAAAAATCAGGTCAACAAATGAGCCCCTATAGAGTTGAGGAACTTTGCCATATGGAGGAAGATAAAATGGAGGTCTTTCGTACAAGATGGGAAAAGTGGGTACAATTTAAAAAGTCAGATGCATACCCAGAATATATGAAATAGGGAAAAGAAGTAAAAGGGGATAAATATAGTATAGTATACTATCAGTATTAATCAAAGAACAGGATTTTTAGAATGAAGTTAAAAGTGCATAATCAAAGGGTAGTTGGGAGGGGGGGGGGGAATAGGAAAGGGGTGGGGTAAAAGGTCACCAAGATTAAGGAAATTTGCGGGGAATGTTATGATAGATAGGTGGAATGTAATTTGTCTGTTTAATTGGCTTTTGTATATTTAAAATGGTGATGTGAAAAATGAATAAAACTTTTAAATAATAAAAAAAAACAAATTAGCCCATTGTCTTGCAGAGTGGTGCAGGAACAGACTGACAACTCATGGGGCCCCCAGGCAATAGGGGATCATGGAGCCCCTATGTCCTCCTTGCCCAAACTCAAAAAAGCCTATGAAAAAGGTACCAGGGGCATCTCATGGGGCCCCCTACTGACCCCGGGTCCTCAGGCAGTGCCCGAGTTTCCAAATGGTCAGTCCGCCCCTAGAGCGGTGTATATCCTAAGATTGGATGGATAGAAATCCTTAGACGGGCTTAGCTGTTCAGCTTGAAAGAGCTGTAAGAAAATGTGTCAGCATTATGTCAAGTCAAACGGATAATTAAAGAAAAAAGAAAGAAAGATGAAAGAAAAGACTTTGGGGACACGGCTTGCAGCAAGACTCTAATTTTTCCCAAACACTCCAAGAGCAAAGGCTAAAAAAGAAAAGGGGGAACAAACTCATTTTGTTATTTCATTAAGTGTTTTTAGAGAGAGCCAGTCTAAGTGCATTGTCAGATCGAGTTTACAAAGAGCCGGCTATGTGTTAGATTTCTATACTTGTCATTGTCAGCTATTTTTAGATGCCAGTGACAGCCAAATCGGGCCAGCCTTGTCATTCCAAATGTGCAGCGTGGCTCTTATAAAGGCGTCTTTTAATAAGAACTTATTTGTGGCACTTTTCTCTTCCTCTTCCCCTTGGTACAATACACAATTTAATGAGTTTCTGTCTTATTCAAGCCTGACATGCATTTCTTAGAACCTAATGTACATCGCCTCCTGTCACTGTGCTAATGCTGTCAATTCTTGACGTGCTTATCCATCACCAGGCTCTCAGGAAAGAATTTAAAATGTCCCTGTGACGTCAACGGGCCCCCAAAAAAAGCCTCAATGCCAAGTTTAGTCAGTTGTTTAGAGGCCTCACAATGAAAAGCCAGATAGCATGAGTTAAATCTATTTGCACACAAGAAACTCGATGCCCATTGTCTCTTCTACAATTACCACCAAGAGGTTGCCCTAAAACCATAAAGCCTTGCAGATGCAGAATTAGGAGAAGGATTAGCAGGACAAAGGCAGATTAGGCGTGTGGATAGCATAACAAATATGAGTAAGCAGGAGTCTATAACCTCTTGCTTAGCCAAAATGTACGAGAGTAAGTTTGACCATAGTACAGGGCCTGGAAAATCCCCAGCGAAGTCTCCCAAGTTGGTCAACAACATGGACAGCAAGCTGAACCTTCTCAATGAAAAAATGGACAAGCTGTTGCATTTTCAGGAAGATGTCATGGGTAAACTGGATATGGTTTCTCAAGGTGTGGACCTGCTGGAAAAAGGGATGGATAAACTGTCGGCCTCTCAGGGACCCAACCCACAAAGTCCAAAGGAGAACATTGAGCAGACTGTGGAACAAAGTAGTTTTCTCAGAATTAATGCGACTTCTTAAAATGTTACGTGAAGAATCTATTATCCACCAAGAGAAACTAGATGGCCTTCAAAGGATGATTTCAACGATGGATAAGGTGGTGGCCTTTGTTGGGAACACTCTCAAAAACTCTAAAATTATGGATTTTATTCTAAAGGGTACGGTTCCTTGGAAGAAGAAGGAGGAGGTTGGTGATTATTCTCACATAGCATTCTTAAGGGTCAGGTGGACTTTTGAAGCTCTAGAGCCAGCTTCGGTGATTAGCTAGACTAGTAGGGTAATGTCTCTGCTTTCAAATGCTTTTGGTGACTCTTTGCGGGATGCGTTCTTTCATGTATAAGTCATCTAGCCGTGTTCATTAATTATAAAATAAAGAAAGACGGTTTAATGGCTTACAGGCAGTGGTGAGTTTCTCTCTTGAATGATTGAAGGAGGGTTGGGGCCCACTTCATTATAATGAGATTGATTTCAGCGTACTCCACTAGACAAGAGCTTAAAAACTAATTTTTATTAGAGTATATCTAAGGAATTTTACTACAGTTGGGATACATAGTTGTAGTATGATAAATTTAACTCCAGAACAGAACCAGTTAATACCCAACCACCCAAACAGCATTGGGTGCCACTAGAGGAGCCAAATACTGCATTATATTAAAAGTGCTTTTCCATTAACATTCAAGTATATTTAAGGCAAATTTTATTATATTCATTTGGATACAGTAGGGAAGGGTTCAAACCCCATAAGGCTTTTTGTTACCTGTGTCCCATTGGGGAAATTTCCTGTGACATTCTCTCTTGGAGATACAACAGGAAATCAGAGATAATCTTTCTTAGGCAGGCAGAAAGGTGTCTCCATTGGAAGATTTCTCCTCCATTCCTGATGTGGTAATAATTTTAAAATGTTGATTTTTTTAATTCCCTTTTTTTCCCTAGTGACAGTGGTCACCAGAACAAATGGAGAGGTTGAATCTCTCCAATGTGGACACAGACAGCAACAGAAACTTGAAAAGGGTTCTAATCCTTCCAAACTCCTTTCAAAACTAAAAAAAAAAATTTGCTTTGAATAAATTTCAATTGTTTGTGGATAAACTTCAATTTGCCTGTACCCAGGGATGTAACTACAGATCAAGGGTCCCCATAGAAAACTTTTAATGGGGCCCCCCATATAATTCCCTAGAGCCACTGATCTTAACATTACATCAAGGGCAGGTAGCAGGAGAGCTGTCAAGTGAGTCAGTGCAATATTAGGGACTGGTGCTGTGGACAGACGGTCTTAGGGTGGAGGGGCATCAGTGCAGAGAATTACCTTTAACCAATATTTTCCCACTAGCTACTCCATCCTCAGAAGCTCCTCAGTTTTTTTTCAGCATCTCAGATGGTAAATTCTAAGCCCTCCAAGCCTTTTCACCACCATCACAGCAAGCAATGCTGAAAGAGGCGTTGTAGTAGTCAGTAATAATAAGAGTTAATTTCAGTGCTGGTCGGGATGACTAGAAGCAGTAAATCAACACTACTAAGACAGTTAAAGAAATTCTCATTGCTACACAGTCTGCAAAGGGGGATCTATAGCTAAAGATTCTGAAATCTTCCCCTGTGCATCTGACATCCATAGCTCCCAACTTTCCCTGATTTCAAGGGACTGTCCCTCATTTGGAACAAAGTCCCTCTTTCCTCCTCATTTGTCCGTCATTTTGGGCTGATCTATAGAGTTCAGGGTGGACTGACCATTTGGAAACTCGGGCACTGCCCGAGGGCCCGGGGTCAGTTGGGGCCCCATGAGATGCCCCTGGTACCTTTTTCATAGGCTTTTTTGAGTTTGGGCAAGGACACAGGGGCCCCATGATCCCCTATTGCCCGGGGGCCCCATGAGTTGTCAGTCCACCCCTGATAGAGTTGTATATGAAATACAGTATTTATTTATCAGAAAGTATTTCCCAGTGCTAAACCTTTCATCCAATTTCTAAATTGCTGCATTTGGATATTTCCAAAGCCAATGTAAAGGAATAGCAGCAGTCAAAAAAACTACTTGTGGGTTTAACCAATCATTTTTTTTTTGGCGTAATTCTCCTCTAAGGTGGACGTGGCAGGGGCCAGTCCTATGCCTACATACTTTTGCTGATAGGTGTCCTTTGTTCCCATCTCAGAAAGTTGGGCAGTAGGGACATCTGCTTTTCTGGATTGTAAATGTCATAGGGGGTACAGGGTCAGTGTCATCAGTATCCTCTGCAATCCTTAAAATTACATTGATAGATATTTGTCTTACCTTCCCATACACACAAATGTTCTATGTTTAAATTTCCTCAACAGTAACCTACTTGGGTTCCCTTCCACCCCCAGGCCCCATAGCAGCAGCATGGGCTGGTATGACCATTGTTATGCCAATGCTTGTATAGTATATAGCTCTGCAGACCACAGTATATACAGCACAATACTTAACTACAACTGACGGAGAGATTAGAACTCCAGGCAATGGGAAACACGATAGGTGAAGGGCTTGACCAGGGCCAGAAGAGTTCCTACCCTCTGTCCTGGGTATACAAGACTGAAAGTCAGGGAAGGTACAAAACATTGAATTGTCAGAGTCATGGGAAAAGATAAGAAATCTTCCCAATGGGACACCTCTAGTAGTGACATCTGTATAATCAAGGCTTTTTTTCTCAGACAATAGGTGCGGGAACTCTCCCTTTCCATGTCACCCCTCGTCTCTACCCCCTACCAGGGGCGGACTGACAACTCATGGGGCTCCCAGGCAATAGGGGATCATGGGGCCCCTGTGTCCTCACCCACACTCCAACCACACCCAAAAAAAGCCTATGAAAGGTACTAGGGGCATCTCATGGGGCCCCCTACTGACCCTGGGCCCTTGGGCACTGGCCAAGTGCCTGAATGGTCAGTCCGCCCCTGCCCCCTACCCATCTCTGAGCACTGTTCTTTGGTTCCACCCCCTCCCAGTACTGTCCTTTTATATAATACAGAACCAAGTATCATTTTGTGCTGCTAAGTAATTTGTATGGAATTTGTTAATGATAACCAGAAAAGCAGTAAAATAGATCCCCTGCAGCCAGCAACAATAGATCCCCTCCAGAAACATTAGATCCCCCAGCAACAAAATATCCCCCTGGCAGCAAGAGATTCCCCAGCAGTCAGCAATAGTAGACCCTTCTCTCAACAGTAGAGCCATCCTATCAACAATTGACCCCCCCCCCCAACCCCCAACAGCAATACAAGACCCATCCCCATAAACAATAGATCCCCCACTAGCATCAATAGACCTCGCTAGCACAATAGACTCCCCAAAAAATAGATTCCCCCTCCCCAGCAACAATAGATCCCCAGCAGCCAGCATCAATAGACCTCCCCAGCACAATAGACCCCCCCCCAAAAATAGATTACCCCTCCCCAGCAACAATAGATCCCCAGCAGCCAGCATCAATAGACCCTTCAGCACACTCCAGCAGCCCCTGTCATTACATACATTCAGTGCTGGAACCTGAAAAAAAAGCCCTGTGTATAAGAGAACTTTCCTCGATTTGAAGATATTTTCTCTCACTTCCAGTTGTTTCCATGGGACGGGAAGTAAAGGGAAACCTGTCATATATGACATTGATTGCAAGTCTCAAAGTTCAAAACTTAAAGCCAGGGGTGGACTGACAACTCATGGGGCCCCCGGGCAATAGAGGATCATGGGGCCCCTGTGTCCTTGTACAAACTCAAAAAAGCCTACGAAAAAGGTACCAGGGGCATCTCATGGGGCCCCCTACTGGCCCCGGGCCCTCGGGCAGTGCACGAGTTTCCAAATGGTCAGTGCGCCCCTGCTTAAAGCATAACTCTGGAACTCTGGGTAGATATAAAAGACACTAATTAATTCAGATCTGTAGTTATCATTAATACAATTTTAATGTATTCTTAAATACAAGCAGCACAGGTACCTGAAGGTGACCTGATATCAGCTTCTTTGCAGTCCTTGTACAGCTGGGCTGGAGCGTGAGCTGAGGAAGCAGCACAAAGACCCATCCAGTTTATGTACTGACAAGAGACATGCTGATAGGAGGAGAGAGCAGAGTGATGAGCCTACCACTGCACTGCTTCTACATTTACTGTCCTGTCTCAGGCTGGGGGCAGGTCCATGACAGCCTAGGCTCAGAGGAAGTAGGTCGAATAAGGCTGGATGTCAAACTGAGGATTTCGAGTGGCAGAAAAAAAAAGTACTGTGGGGGAAATCTTTGCAGCAAAAGCTGGTTTTGTTATTTTATCTTTTAATGGGCTATTCATTTTATTCTGTTATTTTTGGCTGGAGTCCTTCTAAGAAAAAAAATAACATTTTGGCTTTTGCTACTTTATAGCTTTAAAAGGCTTGATCCAGCCAACACATTGATTCCAATCTCAGATACTAGAAGCGACTTCTGTTGATCTGTTGATTTTATTGGGACTTTGTTTTGTGTCTCTATGGGGTTCCACTGGATCTCTGCAACAGTTGGGTTCCCAACTCCGCCCACTAGCTGAGATCAGCATGTGGGGGGTACCCAGTGGTGCATTTTGGTTTTGTGCTGCCCTAAACAACAACATTAAATCGGACACCCCCACCCCCCCAAATCAACATTGGAGCGAACGGGGTGAAGGGTGCATTGGAACATAATAAGAGAGAGAGAGACATAGTGCTGTATATATACAGCACTACATCCATCATCAGAGGGGAGATCAACCAATGAGGCTCTGGCAGGAAAACGTCCCACCTACCTGCTCAGCTCACCCTCCACCCTGGCTGACAATCATCTGGTCTGTCATGAATCATCCCAGCCAGTGGTATATTTAGGTTTTGTGCTGCCCTAAGCAACACAAAAATCAGCCACCCCAACCTCCCCTGCAGAGAGAGCCTGATACCAACCAGAACCCCTCCACCGTGGAGAGATCATAAAACTGACCAACAACCCCTCAAAAAAGAGAGCCCGACACCGACCAACACTCCCTCCCTAAGCTCAGAGAGAGCATAACACCAACCAGCAACCCACCCCCCCCCCCAAAAGGGGGAGAACCTGACACCAACCAACACCACCTCCCCCCCCTCTCCCTGGCCGATGACAGCCTTCCACTACCACCACCTGCCCCATACACCTGTCGCAACCCCCTCCCCAACGAGTGTGAGAAAGAAACTCACCTTCACAGCTCCGGATATTCCAGCCACGAGAGTTAGGTTTGCCTTGCGGTAAATACGCCCCAAAAACCCAGCTTGTGCTCCCCAACACATACCCAGGGAGTGCCCACAAATATGGGACGGGTGGGCCACCTCCAACCTACCAGATCCGATGGCCTCCTGCCTGGTGTGGCCTTCCTATGCTGAATCCTTCACATCCCGCTCTGAGCTGCCCCCCCCCTGAAAAATGCCGCCCTAGGCAAACACCTTGTTTGCCTTTCGGTAAATACGCCCCTGTCCATACCCCATTTTGTAATTTTCCTTAATTTCCATTATGCAGCAGGAGGACAGAGAATTGGAGGATAAGGATAGGAGTTGGGAAGACCACAATATACAGGAACCCAGTATGGGATATGGCCTACCAGCCTATACCTATAAATTAAATATTACTCAAATGCTGGCCATACACAGTCGGGTTTTGTTGCAAATTTGATCTGTCTCAAATAATAATAATATATCAACCACCGAATAGCACAAAGATCTTCCCAATGAATATAAACTGAATAGACATTTTATTTTTTTGAAGGTAGACCTATAAATGGTATCCAAACTAGTTCCAATGCTGTAGCAATATTTTTCTTTTTGATCCAACCAGTTGTTCTTCTGTACTAAGTAAAATAAATAGAATAGAATGATCTATTTTGCCGCTGCTGTCTGTATCCTTTGATTCCTTAAACTGAATTTTATTCCTTAAAAATCACGTTCCAGGGGGAGAGATCTTACAAAGCTCGTGGAATACAGATGATTAAGTGAGATCAAATACTTGGTAGACACGACAGGACAACACTGAAAAGGGAATTTTAAAGAATGTCTTGTAGACAGAAGATAAAATAGCGAGTCTAACCCCTGAGCAGTTCAGTCTCTTGGTAGGAGGCAAGGATTGCGTTCAGATCCATCACTGTGAATATGTATGGTGCCAAGGGGGTATAACCAGACTTGTGAAGTCTGGACAGCATCTGGCAGTGACTGTAAAAGAAAAATGAAATGGAGAAAGATGGACCTGTTGATTTTGCAGCACCTGCTGTCTGTGGAGGAACACAAAATTAATTCAGCAAGTAGATACTCAGATTCTCAAAGGCAAGAAAGCCACATTTATTGAGGCGATAGTGTCATTAGAAAATCATTGGCTTGATAGAGAGTGGTCAAGTTGGCTGGACATACTTTAAAGGGGCACTCTTAAGCACTCTTGGGTCCCCGAACCACAGTACAGGGGCCCAGCATTAGATATATATTTGCATGCTAAGTTATGTGTAAGTGTAATGCTTCCAGGGATTTATTACATATTTTATTTTTAAGAGACTGAGGAAATGCTACTTCCTTGCCTGCAGAAGACTGATGACTTCATCTCAACCTAGGCAACATCACTGAGCTGGAATTCAAGGACTACTTTTCAAAGATGACCTTTTAGTAGCTTTACAAGTTTATAGACGCAGGCGTACCGCGGTTTACGAATTTAATTCGTTCTGCGGGACTTTTTGTATTGCGAAAAATTCGTAAACTGAAACGCGGTTTCCGATAGGAATGCATTGAAAACCAATTAATCTGTTCCGGTGGTCAGAAAAAAGTAAAAAAAAAGTCTTTTATCTGTTCAAAACTCTTTATAAAGTGCACTTTGAAGGCATAAATACTGTACAGGGACATGATTAAAAATGTATTCGTAAATGCATTGAAAACCAATTAATCTATTCCGGAGGTC